GTTACTATCCTGAGATGGGCCCTCACTCAAATCCAGTGTGCATCTATCTCATTGGCTATTTGAGATTCGCAGCCCCACTCAGTGCCCTGGTGCACTCACATGCTTTCTCCTGCATAGGCCTTGTAGTCGTTGTAGAGTTGTTCCCATGCGTTTATGTTTTGGACTTCATTAGAGTAGCTGCCACAGTCTAGATAGCATCTGTGGGTTTTTGTTTTTGTTCTTCTAGTTCTTTCTTTTTATTCGAGGCTCACCATGGATTTGGAAACTGTGCCACCACTGCCACTTCCCAGAACCTGGGAACCCCACTTTTAAAGCATAGGTTTTATCATTATGATCAATAGCTAAGATTGCATGTGTTGCTGTATTACAGAGTTAATTCCCTGAGCTATATTAGTAAATATGGCTGTGCCCTGTGGCTCTTCTTTCTGACACAGGGTAGTAAAGAAGGCAAATTTGACTACTTCTGTGAAAAGTTCTTTTCTGGTAGTCATAGGGATTCTTTAGGCTTTTCCTCACTACTCTTAAAATTCAGCAGTATAGATATTAGCATGTTTATGAATCACCTATCTACAGTCTAAATTGTTTTGTACCACTCCTTTCCCTAATTTGAAAGGTATGCCTGCACCTCTTATTTGCCCCAGCCAAAATGTCTACTGTTAGAGAATCGATGCGTGAGAGATATGTAGCTTACTCTTAACTTTCGTAGTATAGAAAAATGAAAGAATTCTTGGTGAAGATTGACTTTATGTTCCCATTCCTGCAGCACTGACTTGTATGTTATTGGCACTAAGGAGAAAGTACAAGAAATGCTTCTTAAAGAATTCGCCATCTAATTGGTGACTGTAAGGTATAGAGATGTCACATCCTGCAGTTAGGACACTGGAGTTGTGCTTCTTGCTTTCCATCTACAGTGTGGGCAAGTTATTTTTTATATTCCTGGGCTTTCATTCCCTAATCTGTGAAACCAAATTAATGCCATTTTCAGGTTTATGTGTTTTTCAAATTCTAAATAAAACATAGTTTTGCTGTGGTGTCTGCTTACCTGTCAGGTCTTTTACCTGAATGCTGTGGTGACATTTTACTTGGTCTCCTACCCTGGTCATTCTCTATTCCTATAGTATTTTCAACCTTACCACAGACAATAAATCTTTCTAAAACATAGAGCTGTCATATTCCAGTTCTTAAGTAGAAGAACTATGTGAAGTACCAACCCTCCTGTACAGGACCTCACCTGGCCTGTAAGTCCTTCCCAGTTTCTTCCTTGCCATTTTCATCCTTCATCCCACTCGGTCTTTGGCTACACTGAACTGCACACCTTTCCTTAAACTCACTGTGTTTACTCTTAATGTGAAGTTTGCATAAAGTGTCCCAGAGTTTCGCATTTACACAATTCCTGATAGTTTAGTTATTTTTTTGTCTTTTTTGGCTTATTTTTGCTATATAGTCCAGGCTGACCTTGAATTTGCCTTTCTTGTGCCTTGGCCTCTAAGGTGCTGGAGTTATAGATGTGCCACTGTGCCCCACCTTCATTTATTTTTTTAATTGATGAAAATTCTATATTTTTAGCAGTTATAAAATATTGTTTTCAAATACATACATTATGGAATGGCTAAATCAAGCTAATTAAGACAAGTGTTACTTCACATACTTTGTATGCATGAATGTTTGTGGTAAAAGCACTTAAAGTCTACTCTCTTAGCAATACTCAATAATATCATTAACTGTAGTCACCATATTATAAAATGGGTGCTTGACCTCACTCTAACTGAAATTTTGTACCCTTTGCCCAGTAACTCTCACCATCACCCCTACCACCACAACCTCCCGGAAGCCCCTACTAACTTTCTACTATTCTACTCACTTGCTTCTTTGAGTTTCTACATGTGAGTGAGATCATGAAGTATTTGTCTTTCTGCTCCTCAGTCATTTAACATGCTATCCTCCAAGTTTGTCTATATTGTTACAGATGACAGGATTTCCTTCTTTTTTAAAGCTGGATAGTACTATGTTGAGTGTATAATGATTTTCTTTATTCATCCATTGATGAATACTTAGATCAGTTCTGTGTCCTAGTTGTCATGAATAGTGCTTCAGTGAACATGGGGTGTACAGATATCTCTTCAACACACCAATTTCATTTTTTTTGGGTTAATACCCAGTAGCAGGATTACTGGCTCGTATGGAAGTTCTGTTTTTAATTGTTTGAGAATCCTCTATAATGTGTTCCTTAATGGCTGTATCCTGTTCTTTTTTTTTTGAGTCCAGGTATCGTACTCAGGACCTTGCACTTGCGAGGCAGGCAGCAGCACCGCTGAGCTAAATCCCCGACCCTCCCGTTCATTTTTAATGCCTAATTTTTATGTTTATTCATAAGTCCTCTTTAACCTTTCCTGGCATTAGTTGGTTTTTCCTCTTATCCCATGATACATTGTACATTTTTTTCCCCAGAGCTTTCACATGGGGCTACATACAAGCTCTTATTTTTTCAGACAGTGTCCTACGAAGTTGCCCATGCTGGCCTACTCCTGCCCCAGACTCCAGAGTAGCTGGATTACAGGCATGTGCCACCAAGCCCACCTGGCACTTTGTACATTTTATAGTATGGATTTATCATATTGAATTATAGTTATATATTTTATAATTCTGCTTTCTGTTAGTCTCCTGGAAGGTGGTTCTTAGTGTAGTTAGCAATGTTCAATATAGTAGTCCATAGGTGGGTAAATGGTTGGCTGCAGTGGCAGACGCCGGACTGAACACTCAATTCTTTTCTTTCTGTGATGCTGGGCCCCATGCATGCTAGGCAAGCACGCTCCCTCCTGAGCTACACCCCAGCTCCCTCAAAGTTCAATTCATCATTGAACCTCCCTTAGCATAGTAAAGAAAAGAATCTTATTTTATTCCAGTCTGTATTGTTTCTCTCTTCTCGCCTTTACTAAGTTATACATGTACATATTAAAGAATAGGAAAAACAGATATGCATAAAAAAAAAGGCCAACTAATATTTCTCACTCAGGGCCAGGGATTTAGTTCAGTGGTTCCGCCACCTGCCTTGCAAGCACAAGGTCCCGAGTTCGATCCCCAGTACAAAAAAAAAAAAAAAAAAATATATATATATATTTAGAGCTTTTCTGTAACATACAGAATGTCTTTACAAAACATTTTGAACATACTGTTTTCTTTCTTTTTGTACTTAGAAATGTACTACAGGTTTGGGAGGGGATCAGAAGGGGAAGTAAAAAGAATTAAGTATATTATGTACCTGTACTGACTATACATAATGTACTCATGATGTACTAATAAAAATAAAATACTTAAAAGAAACATATTACAGGTTGAGCATCCCTATTCCAAAAATCTGAAATTCAAACTAATCCTAAATTTTTGGGGGGGAGGTGTCTTGGATTTTCACATTGGCCATGCTCAAACAGCATAATCCATGACAATACTCTAAAATATAAAAAAGACCTCTGAAATCTGAAATACTTCTGGTGCCAAGGATTTTATATAAGGGATACTCAATCTGTATGAACATTGTTTGTGTCTAAAATGTTTAAAAAGCACCCTAGATATACCATAATTTAGGTGAACAACTACTTTCGATTGTTTTTTGGATTGCTTAGCATTTTTCAGTTCTTTTAATGACACTGTGGTGACATTTTTATAGCTCCGTTTTTCTGCCTACCCATAATATTTTTAGTATAAATTCTTACAAGTGAAATTAATGGGCCAAAATGATGATGTACAGATTTCGAATTTTCTATTCTACACCACACTGCCTTGTGCAGTTAGATCACCCTTGTGTCAAGTCACTTTGAAATATTTACAGATAGCAGGACCGTTTTGCATTAAACCACTTTTTTCATTACTGCTCTAACCTCCCTCAGTCAAGGGACCAAGGGCTCAGCTTGAACTATAGAGTCCCTCTGGCTTCCATTGCTGAGGGATCTTGGAGACTGAAATTGGTTGGTAAACCTCTACTAATGGAAAGGAATACAGTTAGGAAACATTTGTAATCGTTGATGGGATGCAATTGAGTGAAAGCCAATGTTCTCCTTCCAGGACTGCAGCTGGGAATGTAAAAAACTAAGTTACTTAGTGAGAGCTGCTCCATTTATGTGTATTGTCTTTTGAGCCACTGGGCTTCTCTGATTAGCACGGAAAAGGAAGATTTTTGAGGAACAGGTTAAGATTAAATAGAGCAGTTTTACAGGTGAGAATGCCCTGAAAAAAATATAATTTACTTCCAGTGTACTATTTAGTCCTCCATTTTTTAGCAGCATTATTGACTTTTACCTAAAGTTCAAACAAGTAAGATGTGCATAAGTAGTACTGTTGCATTTGTTTTGAACATACTTGATTTATAGATAAATACATGACATAGAAGCAAATTCTTTTTTTCCACTATTCTCTGGACACAAAAGAATTGAGGTGTTTCTCATTGCTATTTTAAACAAATGCTGATATCTTTTAAAATAAGTTCTAATTCATATATCACATTATTCACGTATTTAAAGTTACAATTCAGTGGTTTGTTTTTGGGGGTTTTTTTGGTACTGGGGCTCAAACTCGGGACCTTGCAAACACTTGCAAGGCAGGTGGCGGAACCACTGAGCTAAATCTCAAGCCCTCAGTGGTTTTTATTCTGTTCACAGAGTAGACAATAATCAGCAATCATGTCAATTTTATAACATTTTCACACACCCTAAAATAAACTGCACCCCAGTTAGCAGTTATTCCTCATTTCCTCCCAGCACTCCTCCCTGAGGGCACAGTTTACTTTGTCTCTGTGGAATGACTTGTTCCAGATGGTCCTTATAAATGGAACCATGCAATACACATTGCTCTGGGACTGACTCTATTGTAAAGTATTGGTACTTCATTCCTTTTTGTGGCCAGATATGTATTTTATCATTCATCAGTTGATGTCCTTTTGGAGTTTTGGCTGCAAGGCCCAGGTTTTGTGTGGACACATACTCATTTTATACTTTTTTTTTTTTTAGTGTCTTTCTCGAGAAGCAGGTGGAAATATGAGCATTCAGTTTCTTGGTACAGTGGTAAGTACAAAGAATAATTTGTATATCCTCTTAATTGGCAGAGAAAAGAAATGTTTAGCTAGTAAAAACCCATGTGTTCCATATTGTATAAAGATGCATTTGAAAACACTGAGCTTAATTTTTTTGTATTTTCTTTCTAGCTTTCTGTGTTAGGTCTAATGAAATTGAATCATCATTTTGTATCTTAATTTTTTCACCTAAATCCTATTAATTATTTTATATATTGCTATAAAATATTTATAAATATAATATTAATGGAGCTATAGTTAAATTCTAATAGGTAGATATGACATTTTATTTATCCTTGATTTCTGACTGTTAAGTATTTAAGTTACTTCTACTTTTTTGCCATTACTAGTGATATTCCAGTGAACAATTACACGTGTTTTATTTTTTTGACATTTTGAATTATTTTCAATATGTGTAAGATGTTTTAAATGCACAAAATATATTTCCTTCTAAATAGACTCAAAGCTATGAATAATTTTATGGCTTATTACATATGTTGCCAGTTATTTCATATCTTTTTAGAACACTACACATCTTATATTAGGATCCTTTATATTCTCACTAGTATTAGTTATGATTTTCTAAATTATTAACTGTTGAAAAGACGTTTATGTGACTAGCTATTGCTATGAAGTTAGTTTTCAAAATAATTTATGTAAAAGGCACATTTTAGTTTTAATTTTTGTCTGTTGCTGTTGTCTTGAATATTTCTCCATGTATTCATTTACTAAGTATTATTTATAATATGTGAGATGTCTCTTTGTGTGGGATACATTGTTCAAAATGGATTCATTTTGGGTGTTTCTGATGGTTTATTGAGACTATCAGAGGCCTGTGGCTTGGATAAAAATATAACAATTTTATAGCCATTGAAGTAAGAAGGATATTAATGAAAAATGTTTGCTCAGTGTTTTATCACATATATTTATAGAGACATATGTATGGCTTATGTATATAAGCTATATGTATAGTAGTGTATGTATAGTCACTTGACCATTGTAACCTAAAGTTTAGATATCAAGCTTAAGGCTATGGTTATTCTTGTTTTTCTGATTAATAAAGTAATACATGCTCATTGTAAACAGAAGTTTTAGATATTGTTGAAATTCATGTCATAGGAAGTTGTATTAGAGTTTTCCAGAGGACGTAGACCCAATAGAGTATGCATGTGTACAAATCAATGTACTGTAAATGTGGATTAATTTTGAGGAATTGGCTCATGCAGTTATGGAGGATTGACAAATCTCAGATCTTCAAGGTAGGCCAGTAGGCTAGAGACTTGAAAAGTTTCAGTTCAAGTTCGGAGGCAGTCTTCTGACTGAATTCTTCCTTGTTCTCCTCACTGGTCAACTTGTTTTCCATTAAGGCCTTAGCTGATTGGATAAGGCCTACCTACGTTGTGGAATATGATCTGCCTCACTCACAGTCCATTTATTTAAATGTAAGATCCTGTCTCAAACAAAAAGACACCTGAAAAAAATGGAAAAGAATTCCATGTATCTGCCATTACCCTCTGGTCCTGCTAAAAGACAGATTGTTTGCTAATGATGCCTAAAAAGAGAATGAATGCCAATTTCTAGCACAATTTCCAGATTAATTTCTAATTACCCTAAAATTCCACAACACAGGGTTTTGGGTGGCCCATTTGTTACATTTGATTTTTCTGTGTGTATTATTAGCAATAATGGATCGTTGTAGAAGAGGGAAAGTGGTTGGAAGATAGTTGGACTGTTACAGTGATACAGATTAATATCTAGCTTGCCTGTGCCACTTCAGTGGAAGAATCTAAAGCAGACATACTCTCCAGGACACAGGCCAGGGACAGCAGCAGCGTGTCACATGTAAAGATGGTGCCTACAAACTATGCATTTGTCTTTGTGAGAATTCTTATAGAATTGTCTGATCAAGACGGGGTTCTTCTGAATATTGTTAAACTTAACCTTCAGTGTTCAAAGAAGAGTTTAATTTTAAACTAAGAGAAATACTTTTTTATCATCAAGTTTCAAAAATAATGTTAGTATTTCAACTTAGAGAACGTACAGATTTAAAAATAATTTAGTTCGCTGGACATGGTAGTACGCACTTGTGATTCCAGCTATGTAGGAGGCTGAGGCAGAAGAAACTCAACTTCTAGCCCACAGTAGTGAGACCCTGTCTTGAAATAAAATAATAAAAAAGACTGGGCTGAAGATGTAGCACAGTGATCCCTGAGTTCAATCCCCAGCAAACAGACACACAACACACACACACACACACACACACACACACACACATCTCACTCATTATTTAATCACTCTGAACTTTAAAAAGTACCAGTTTAGGGTTTTTAAAAAGTAGTTTTTATTTTAAAAATTTATTTAAGTACACAATTGCAGTATATAGTGATTATAATTATCGTGGGGAGTTGGTACATGTACATAATACATCTTAATTCTTTTTTTGTTTTTCATCCTCTATCTTTCCTTCCCTCCCCCTTCATCTCTTGTTCCCCAGTTCATTTGAAAAAGATCTCCCTACTTCCTCTTTATCTTCTAAATTTTACTCTTTATTTCCAGTAAATCTTATTGCTTTTTTTTTTTTTTTTTTGGTACCGGGGATTGAACTCGGGTCCTTGTGCCTTCAAGGCAGGTGGCGGAACCACTGAGCTAAATCCCCATCTCATTGCTTTTTGAAAACTAGATTATAGTATATATAATATAAATATTACACAAAGTATTATAAATATACCTTATATAATTGCGCAGGTACATTTAAAAGGTCATTTATAAGTTTTAAAGAATAATAATAAACAAATACCTGTATATTTATTATAGAGTTTTGCTGTGTGCTTCTTCCAAATCCTGTCACCTTTTCTCCTCCCCCCCATGTCCCATGGAAAACTTCTTCCTAGTTTTTTTTTTTTTTTTTTTTTGGTACCAGGGATCAAACTCGGGACCTTGCACTTGCGAGGCAGGTAGCAGAACCACTGAGCTAAATCCCCGGCTCCTTCCTAGTTTTGTATTTATCATGTCTTCCTTTCTCTTTATATTTTTCCACATATTTGCATCCCTAAATAATACATGGTTTAGTTTTGCTTGCTTTTAAATTTGATATATATAGAATTATGTTCTATAATCATCTATGACTTATTTCGTCCTGCACTGTTTGTAAGACTCCCTGCATTGCATGTAGCTATAATTTGTTTATGCTTGCAGCTACATAGCATGTTGTTGTGTTGATAAACTGGTCTGCTATTGGTGAGTGATTGGGCAGTTTCTGGATTTTTTTGGTTGTGATTTTGTTTTTGTTTTTATTTTGTTGTTGTTGTTGTTTTGCTATCACTTATAGTATTACTGTGTTTCTGTACATGGGTACATGTGTCCTGATACCACCCATGGGTGAAGGCTGCATAACTATATGAATTTAGTCCATTTAGATGGTACTTGGACTTTTGCTAACAAGGCAGGAAGAGTGAGGGTGGGACCATATGACTAGTTCTGACTCTGAGCTCCAGTTCACAGCGATTCTCAAGAACTACAAAATGTCTGAGACTTACTCTTCTTGCAAGATGACAAATCAGACTGCTACAGTTTTGTGGCTACTGCTGGAAGACATGAGACTCCAGGGTCAGAGGCATCGTGCAGTTGGTTACATTGAGCATCGTTTTTGTACCATTTCCCTATAGTTTCCCCCAGAGTGCTTCAGAGAGGGGAAAATGAGGGCAGCGCCTACCATGGTTATAACAGAGCAACTTTGAGCGTGGGGACCCAGAGTCTTTATCACAGGCAGTCATTGTGCCTGCCCTTTGTCCCAGTGTGCAGATGTCCTCCAGAGGGAAGGATACTCAGTCTCTCACTCACAAGAAGTGAGATGGGGAAGAGCCAGAGGTGAGCTCTCTAGATCCCTTTGTGTCCCCCTTAGGAGCTGGGCATCACATGATGAGCCTCTGTTGTCACTTGTCCCTGGGTGAAGAGTGGTACTGAGCGCTGCCAACCTGACCCTCCAATGGACTGAGTTTTGGAGCTTACCTAAATATACAACCTCCGAACACAAAGACCATTGTCTGTTTCTTGAGCCTCATACCCCTTATGTAGATTTCAGATTCATATAAAAGGTATAGATATGAGATTCAGAAGATCTGTTCTAAAGCCTAAAGCCTTTGGCTCATGACTTTCAAGTCTACATACAAGATCTCCTTTCTGTTACACTGCTTGAACTGTACTTAAAAATTGTTAGGTCATGTTTTTTGTATAATGAAGGCAGGATCTTCCAAATTAATGGGATGGGGCATTCAGATATCAAATTTGTGCCAAATTTGACCCAAACAGGAATATATTTGAGATTTGTGTGTGTGTGTTATGTGTGTGTATGTGTGTGTGTTCAGAGGATCCACCACATTTTAACCCTTAGTGTCTATCAATTTCTTTACTCTCCCACTCCCAAAGTGTAGGTAATGGGACTCTGTATTAGTTTCCTGGGGTTGTTGCATCAAATTACCACACAGTAGGTAGATTAAAACAGCAGAAACAGGGAGCCGGGGATTTAGCTCAGTGGTGCCGCCACCTGCCTCACAACTGCAAGGACCTGAGTTTGATCCTTGGTAGCCCCCCCCCCCCAAAAGCAGAAATTTATTCTCTCACGGTTCTAGGGGACAGAAGTCTAAAATCAAAGTGTAGGTGAGCTGGTTTTGTTGAGAGGCTCTCGGGGAGGATCAGTCTATGCCTGTCTCTGGCTTCTCTGGTAGTTGCCGGCGGTCCCTGGTGTTCCTTGGCTTGTAGCCATGTCATTCCAATTTCCTTTTCTCTCAGTGTCTGTGCATTCATTCGTGTGAATTGAAAGACTTATCACATTTAGGGCTCACCCTCATCCAATAAAACCTCATCCTACTTACAGCCTCAAAGTCCCTATTTCCAAATAAGGTCACATTTACGAAGTTCTGGTGGACATGATTTCTTAGATGATTCTCCTGCCCAGTGCATACTTCACATAGACATGAAAGTGTGTTTGATATA